AATTTCGTAACATATTGAAATATAAACCAGATATATAGGTAAACAGTATAAATCGTCAATGTTGAATCACTTTATCTGTTTAGGAGAAACCAAGCAACGTGTTCGTGCTGATGTGTCTAGATAACTAGAAAATTGGGTTTTCAAAAAGTAAAAGAATATTCAAACGTATTAAACAGTCGGAAACTAAATAAATCATGCATTTTTATATTGTATAATACTAAAGCTAACTGATTTATTTAATTAAGGCAAGGTAGAGAACAAAGGTAGCGAACTAACTAACTATGAAATACAATGTACATCAGAGGTAGAACTTAAAATTCTAACTGTTAAAAAAGAAAAAACAATTATGGCAAATAAAATACTTATCTGAATGTTAGTTGACGGAATTCGGCATTTGAAACCATATCAGCTGCTATATAAACATCGGCTGTGGATTTTAATGAACGATGTTACCACGTTGGAATTTAAGCTAGAAGTGATTTACTAAAGCTGTAGGATTCTACGCATGGAATTCACGTGACAGAGATAACGGTGTAAACTTCTAAACCTGTTTTATACACGCTTAGACGAGTGTTGATACTGTCATGCATTAATAACCCGCTAAATTAAAACGCTTTATTTATTAAAGAAAATAAACCTACTTATATAGATGATGAAGTTTTACAATAACATTTGTTTTTGTTCATAAAAGTTATATCACAGCTTACATCACCATTTAGTAAAACTTATACAGATGAACATTTTCAAATCTATATGTTTTCATACATAAATATACATGTTTACATATTTCAAATGAAGTATTATTCATTGGGGAGGGGTGATAATTTAAGGTGTATAAAGCTATACATGTGCTACAAAAAATCTGATTTTTGAAAAACGAATACTTCCAAAATGCTTATATGAATGAAATATGGTAGAATATTGCATTAAAAGAATATCGCGTGTAATAAATCATTGCTAAATGCATGGTTAAAACCCTAATAAAGACACCTGTAGCAAAATGTTTTGTTCCGTGGCATTTTATTCTGTTTACGAAACAATATTCATGTGTGTAAAATAACAGAGACATTCTATGTTACATCTCTTTCAAGAATCGACCATAAGATTATTGACCCAATATAATTTTACTGTTGTTAAATATTATAAAATGTATTTCATAAGCTACTGCTTTATACCCTTTAATGATTTAAACAAAGCAAAGTATTTAGATTACTTAGTTTGGTACTTAGAGGAATAATTGGATAATAATTAAAGACATAATTTTTCAACATGTTAATTTTGCAGCAAAAATTGTATCTCCAAAATATAAATAGAAAAAAGATAAGATTGTTCAGCCTATCACTATCTGGGTTATTGTTCACCTTTTGTATCATGTTCATCATTATATAGGAATGTTCAGGTAGTAATTTAACTTTGAGGTAGTTATGTTAAATGATAGAAATACAACAAAAACGGCTGTCATTTACCGCATATTGCCTATCATCTTAACCGAATTAAATCATTTACGGACGTTCACGGAAATTAGCGATTTGTGACGGTTAAGGCGGAAGTCTGGAGGGTAACTGTTGCTTGTCTACTTGGAAGAATTGATAGGTCGTCTATTATAAAAGGAAACACAAACTTCATATCATCACTATTTCATTTGAAGTCGTCAATATACAAGGTAGGTTTACATTCAAATCGTTTTAACCAGAAGAAAATACATTGTAATTTTTTAAAAAAAATTTACGTAGCCAAGGTACTGATAGTGTTTATTAACTGATGATTTCTAAATTGAAAACGAACATTGAATTTTATTTCATATATTACTAAGAGTCTTACTTCATTGATATGAAAGATAATTAGCAATGCAATGTGTAAATGCGCGATATCATTTTATTTCGTTGAGTTTTAATCATATCCGTACCATTGCGGACATATGATGATTGTAACAGTAAAGGACCAGTGACATCAGTTGGTATGTCATGAAAACATCAGACAGCTTTAACTGTTAAGCGGTCAATTTAAATGAATGAAAATTGAACTTTTGACACACAACACGAAATGTTTTGTAGTATTCTTGAAAACAAATAGCTGCATAATTTAATTATTTCTCTTTAGCATCATGAAAATCTCAGCTCTTGCCTTTTTCGCCCTTGTCGGAGTTATCGGTGTTGCCCTCGGTGCCGGGTACGGATACGGCGGTTATTCTGGCGGGTACACCTACATGCCAGTATCTGGTTACGGTCAGCAAGGAGCCGGCGGGTTCGGAGATGGTTCTTTCTGTAAGTAACTTCAATTGACCAAATTTTAGTCTAAAGTTATTTCAATAATGCAATCGCTTATTTGAACAAAACATGAAATTAAATGTTTGTTAGTGTGTTTACACTTGTTAGTCAGCTGATTTAGCTTAAAAGTTAAGATATTTTAATTATCAATTTGATACACCCTTAATTATCTCATCTGTAATATTGTTCACTGAAGACATTTATAAGGGTAATTATTCAACATTTTCAATTTTATTTCAGTGATGCTGATCGGATTCTTGTTCCTGATCTTGATCTTGTTCAACAGCAACCTGTTCAACACCACCTCAACAGCTACTACCACACCCATCACCATCCTCCAGGGTTAAATATGGTAAATCTTTACTTAAATAAATATATGAATATCTTAAAACAACTTCTTTGTGTTATTAAGAGAGATACGTAAATAGATTTATATCGCATTAATGCAAACAGTGTTAATTTGTTTTCTAGTAAATCATTAACAACGTGTTAAATATAAACATTAAATAATTTTACTTGACTTGTTATAAAAAGTTCTCTTAATTGAACAATGCACCAAAATTTATATTGCAGTAATAATGATAGAGCAAATTTGTTGAAAAATACACAATGCATTTTGTTATCTCTAAAACTTTCATTATTATTTAAACAAGAAAAACTTTATGTACATGTATTATTATATTATTATTATTATTATTATATTGATGCTTCTGTCTCTTGAAACTTTAAACAGCGACATTTTGAAGATGATTAAAAAACAAAGATTTTATATTATTATGAGAATTTTTCTAATTATTACCAGTGATTGATTTATTTTTATGCATTCTTCCAGATTTAGTAAAAGACCAGCAGCACTTAAGCCGAACATCTATATTTCCACTACCCTTTCTATGGAGATATTCCAGCTGTGATGTGATTGGTCAATTTATAATACTTTCTGTGATATCTAAGTTATTTATCATTAATGTTATATTGATGCGTTTTATTCCAAAACACTGCAATAAAATCTTAAAAGAAAATAATATATATCGTTTGTTATGAAATATGTATAATTTACTTCATGGTTCACGTATATACATGTAACACATCACATATAAGACGATGAGGAACATTCAACAAACACGATTTTTTTTCATTACTGGCGACTGTAGCATTATTCCGTACATAATGTTATCTATTAAACTGTAACTTCAGAGCCAAGAACAGTTGATGGAAAGAGACACTTGTAGGTTTTGTACATCCGTGGGTACCTCGCATTACCTTACTTCTTTGATAGATGCATGAATTCCTATCAATTAATTTATTTGACAATAAATGTATCCATTTTCTATAAAGAAACAATTTACATTAAACTTCAATTTTTAACTTAAAAGAAAAAGTTTACATTATACAAGTTGAATTATTAACAATTTTGGTATATCTTTAGTAGTTGTGTACATTCCACCCAAAACTACTCTAGAATGCAGGAAATCTCTCCTAGCAGAATTATCTAGGTGGCTAAGGCACTGAATGCTTTAACATGAGAAATGTCTTATTTAAAGCGACTGAAAGATATGATACATACATGTTCCCGTTAGTTATAAATCTTGAAAGAATATCAGTCCAAAAAATAAATTTATATCTTATGAATCATACATTATGTAGTAATGATGAAATGAAATGTTATTTGAAAGTACAGCGCGGAAGGGACTGTGTGTGTGTTTTTACAAAAGATAAAAGTATCCTTTGTGTACGGTGGCACAAAGGTGACATGTGTGTGTGTTTTTATTTGACACGTGGTCACGAGTAACTATGTCGTGGCGACGAGTTACTAAGTCGTGGCCACGAGATAGCTAAGTCGTGGCCACGAGATACTATGTCGTGGCGACGAGTTACTAAGTCGTGGCCACGAAATAGCTAAATCGTAGCCACGAGATACTATGTCGTGGCCACGAGTTACTAAGTTGTGGTCAAGAGATAGCTAAGTTGAGGCCACGAGATACTATGTCGTGGCCACGAGTTACTAAGTCGTGGCCACGAGATAGCCAAGTCGTGGCCACGAGATAATTAAGCAATCAGAATACACTATATGAATTTTTTTAACTTAACAACTTACTTTTACATGCAACATTAATCTTTGAAAATACTGAAGATATTCACTTTGATTTGAACTTGTCTTTAGGATCATATTAGACAGTCACCTTCCAATGCCCATCATACATTAATTTTGACTATAGCTCTTTGTTGGGACAATTTTGTGATCGAATTGGTCAGTTTGTACGTACTACGGCCTGTTAATCTTGTTTATACGATAACATGAGAAGGAATCGGTCCTGGTTTATATTATTTGTAAGGGACATTGCCCATGGACAGTAGATAGCCTATAAGGTAAAATCCTTGTCTGATGAATAATTTAAAAGGGACAAGCCATGGTTTGTTATATAACCAAGAAAGATCATTGCACCAGATCAGTAGATGCGAGGTCATTGGGTCAAAAAATAGGGTCACAGGGTCACAGTGACGCTAAATGTAAATTTATTGACAAGTCAATAAGTTGCATAAATGACACTTTTACAGGCTGGTGAAGTAGGGACATCCTTGTACTATAGCACATGTCTAGTTAATTAGGGAAATTCACATAAATGGTGTAATCTGATTAGTTATTTATCTCGTGGCCACGACTTAGCTATCTCGTGGCCACGACTAAGTAACTCGTGGCCACGACATAGTATCTTGTGGCCACGCCTTAGCTATCTCGTGGCCACGACTTAGCTATCTCGTGGCTACGACATAGTAACTCGTGGCCACGACATAGTATCTCGTGACCACGACTTAGCTATCTCGTGGCCACGACTTAGTAACTCGAAGCCACGACATAGTAACTCATGTCCACGACATAGTATCTCGTGGCCACGACTTAGCTATCTCGAAGCCACGACATAGTAACTCGTGTCCACGACATAGTATGTCGTGGCCACGACTTAGCTATCTCGTGGCCACGACTTAGTAACTCGTGGCCACGACATAGTATCTCGTGGCCACGACTTAACTATCTCGTGGCCACGACTTAGCTATCTCGTGGCCACGACATAGTATCTCGTGGCAACGATTTAGCTATCTCGTGGCCACGACTTGGCCACGACAAAGTATCTCGTGGCCAAGAGATAAATAAAAACACACACATGTCACCTTTGTGCCACTGTATTTGTGAGCTATATGTACGTGTTTACATAAATCAATCATTATCTGGTCTGTACTTCTTGTAAAATGATAAGAAACTGTTTATGATTTAATCCCCGTATTTTACTAAACGCACTTTTTCGAAATGTTTTCACCGCTCTCTCATTCTTTCCCTTAAAATATCTTGCTCAAACTTTGTTCGTTACCTCACGCAAAGATCTTGTCCGGACTTTGTTTCCATCCCCATCCAAAGGCCTTGCTTTAACTTCACCCAAAGACCCTGCCTTTAATTCACCCAAAGACCCTGCCTTTAATTCACCCAAAGACCTTGCTTTTACTTCACCCAAAGACCTTGCTTTTACTTCACCCAATGACCTTGCTTTTACTTCACCCTAAGGCCTTGCTTTTACTCTATTAACGTCACTGTTCCTAACATCACCAGACTCTGTTCCTATCATATTTAGGATTATGTTCCTCAACTGTAATCCAAATACATGTTTCTGGTGTAAAGTTTTGTAATTCAGCTGGTCATCAGATATAAGCTTCTTGTTTTTTGGATTATTATGTTACAGCTCGGTCAAAAATCTTTTCTGGATTTGTATTTCAACCTCCCTATCAAAGATCTTGTTTCGAAATATACCAGTTTTTACCTCTAACTGAAATATCAAATTCCTGATTTGAATCCCATATTCAGAAGTGATTGATAAATCAGTTTCGGTTTGTATTTGGTTAATAGCCCCTTTTGTACTGAATAAAATGTATAGGACCGTCTAATGGCAACAAAAAGATCGTGGGGATATATACACGGGTGTGCTATATGTGTGCTATACATGTGCTACAAAAAAATCTGATTTTGAAAATTGAATACTTCCAAAATGCTTGTATGAATGAAATATGGTTAGAATATTGCATTAAAAACGAATATCGCGTGTAATAAATCATTGCTAAATGCATGGTTGAAACCCTAATAAAGACACCGGTAGCAAAATAATATGTTGTTCCGTGGCATTTTATTCTGTTTACGAAACAATATTCATATGTGTAAAATAACAGAGACATTCTATGTTACAACTCTTTCAAGAATCGACCATAAGATTATTGACCCAATATAATTTTACTGTTGTTAAATATTATAAAATGTATTTCATAAGCTACTGCTTTATACCCGCAAAGCAAAATATTAAGATTACTTAGTTTGGTACTTAGAGGAATAATTGGATAATAATTAAAGACATAATTTTTCAACATGTTAATTTTGCAACAAAAATTGTATCTCCAAAAAAAGATAAGATCGATCAGCATGCCGTTTTTATCTATCAATATCTGGGTTATTGTTCACCTTTTGTATCATTAGGATTGTTCAAGTAGTAATTTATTTTTGAGGTAGTTATGTTAAATGATAGAAATACAACAAAAATGGCTGTCATTTACCGCATATTGCCTAATATCTTAACCGAATTAAAACATTTACGGACATTCACGGAAATTAGCGATTTGTGACGGTTAAGGCGGAAGTCTGGACTGTTGCTTGTCTACTTAGAAGAATTGATAGGTCGGTCGTCTATTATAAAAGGAAAAACAAACTTCATATCATCACTATTTCATTTGAAGTCGTCAATATAAAAGGTAGGTTAACATTCAAATCGTTTTAACCAGAATAAAATAATATATATCTAAACATTTTGTTTACGTAGCCGAGGTACTGATAGTGTTTATTAACTGATGATTTCTAAATTGAAAACGAACATTACATTTTATTTGATATATTACTAAGAGTCTTACTTCATTTATATGAAAGAAAATTAGCAATGTGTAAATGCGCAATATCATTTGGAAGTTTTATTTCTTTGAGTTTTGATAATCATATCCGTAGTATTGGGGACAAACAAACAAACATATGATTATTCTAATAGTAAAGGACCACGTAACATCAGTTGGCATGTCATGAAAACATCAGACAACTTTAAATGTAAAGCGGTCAATTTTAAATGAATGAAAATTGAACTTTTGAAACACAACACGAAATGTAATATAGTATTCTTGAAAACAAATAGCTGCATAATTTAATTATTTCCCTTCAGCATCATGAAAATCTCAGCTCTTGCCTTTTTCGCCCTTGTCGGAGTTATCGGTGTTGCCCTCGGTGCCGGGTACGGATACGGCGGTTATTCTGGCGGGTACACCTACATGCCAGTATCTGGTTACGGTCAGCAAGGGGCAGGCGGATTAGGAGATGGTTCTTTCTGTAAGTAACTTCAATTGACCAAATTTTAGTTTAAAGTTATTACAATAATGCAATCGCTTATTTGAACAAAACATGAAATTAAATGTTTGTTAGTGTGCTTAAACTTGTTTGTCAGCTAAGTTAGCTTTAAAGTTAAACTATTTTAATTTTCAATTTTGTTACACCCTTAATTATCTTATTTTTAATATTGCTCAATCAAGACATTTGTTTGGGTATTTATTCAATATTTTCAAAATAGGTAAATTTATTACATGTATTTTCAAATGATTATATTTCAGTGATGCTGATCGGATTCTTGTTCCTGATTTTGATCTTGTTCAACAGCAACCTGTTTAACACCACCTCAACAGCTACGACCACACCCATCACCATCCTCCAGGGTTAAATATGGTAAGTCTTTACTTTAATATATAAATATCTTAAAACAACTTCTTTGTTGTTATTAATGCTAACAGTGTTAATTTGTATTTCTAGTAAATCATTAACAACGTGTTAATATAAACATTAAATAATTTTACTTGACTTGTTATAAAATGTTCTCTTAATTGAACAATGTATCAAAATTAAAATTGCAATAATAAAGAGAGTATCAATTTGTTGAAAAACACACAGTGCATTTGCTTATCTCTAACACTTTCATTATTATCTAAACAACAAAAACTTTTATGTAAATATTGATGCTTGTGTCTCTCGAAACTTTAAACAGCCCATTTTGAGAACGATTACAAAACAAAGATTTTATATTATTATGAGAATTTTTCTAATTATTACCAGTGATTGATTTATTTTTATGCATTCTTTCAGATTAAGTAAAAGACCAGCAGCACTTTACGCCGAACATCTATATTTCCACTACCCTTTCTATGGAGATATTCCAGCTGTGATGTGATTGGTCAATTTATAATACTTTCTGTGATATCTAAGTTATTTATCATTAATGTTATATTGATGCCTTTTATGCCAAAACACTGCAATAAAACCTTAAAAGAAAATAATTTATATCGTTTGTTCTGAAATATGTATAATTTACTTCATGGTTCACGTATATACATGTAACACATCACATAAAACATTAGACGATGAGGAACATTCAACAAACACGATTTTTTTTCATTACTGGCGACTGGAGCATTATTCCGTACATAACGTCATTTTTGCTGCATCTATTAAAGTTGTGACTTCAGAGCCAAGAACAGTTGATGGAAAAAGACACTTGTAGGTTTTGTACATTCGTGGGTACCTCGCATTACCTTACTTCTTTGATAGATGCATGGATTCCTATCAATTAACTTATTTGACAATAAATGTATCCATTTTCTAAAAAGAAGTTAACATTATACAAGTTGAATTATTAACAATTTGGTATATCTTTAGTAGTTGTGTACATTCCACCCAAAACTACTCTAGAATGTAGGAAATCTCTCCTAGCAGAATTATCTAGGTGGCTTAGGCACTGAATGCTTAAACATGAGAAATGTCTTATTTAAAGCGACTGAAAGATATGATACATACATGTTCCCGTTAGTTATAAATCTTGAAAGAATATCAGTCCAAAAAATAAATTTATATCTTATGAATCATACATTATGTAGTAATGATGAAATGAAATGTTATTTGAAAGTACAGCGCGGAAGGGACTGTGTGTGTGTTCTTTTACAAAAGTTAAATGTATCCTTTGTGAGCTATATGTACGTGTTTACATAAATCAATCATTATCTGGTCTGTAATTCTTGTAAAACGATAAGAAACTGTTTGGGATTTAATCCCCGTATTTTACTAAAAGCACTTTTTTTCGAAATGTATTCACCACTCTCTCATTCTTTCCTTTAAAATACGCTCAAACTTTGTTCCTTACCTCACGCAAAGATTTTGTCCGGATTTTGTTTCCATCCCCATCCAAAGGCCTTGCTTTAACTTCACCCAAAGACCCTGCCTTTAATTCACCTAAAAACATTGCTTTTACTTCACCCAAAGACCTTGCTTATACTTCACCATAAGATCTTGCCTTTACTCTATTAACGTCACTGAAAGACCTTTCTGGTACATCACCAGACTCTGTTCCTATCATATTTAGGATTATGTTCCTCAACTGTAATCCAAATACATGTTTATGGTGTAAAGTTTTGTATTTCAGCTGAACATCAGATATAATCTTCTTGTTTTTTGGATTATTATGTTACAGCTCGGTCAAAAATCTTTTCTGGATTTGTATTTCAACCTCCCTATCAAAGATCTTGTTTCGATATATACCAGTTTTTACCTCTAACTGAAATATCTAATTCCTGATTCGAATCCCATATTCAGAAGTGTTTAATAAATCAGTTTCGGTTTGTATTTGGTTAATAGCCACTACAGTACTGAATAAAATGTAAAGGACCGTTTAATGGCAACAAATAGATCGTGGGGACATATACACGGGTCATATGACACCAGAACTAGTAGGTCAAAGATGTGAATTATTAATTGGCTAATTTAAGTAATAAGATGTTGCTTTACTATTGACCTAAAATATGTTTACTATTGATGTTTTATTCTATGAATAAGACGTATATGTAATGTATAGTATCATTTAAAGTTTGACATAATGCTAAAGTAGAATTTCCTTATCAAAATTGATTTAGCAACAGCCAGCAAATGCATAAGGGAAACCTTAATTCACTTGCAGAAATATCAGCTCCCGGAATAGCAGGCACGGAACTGTACCATAATTGTTACACATACACGTGAATTTGTATTTCAATAAAGAAAAACACCTTTAAATAGAACTATATGTAAGTACATGAGCACCAATATATCAAGGGTGTTAAGCTGGTTTTACTAATATGTTTATGGAATACCTGAGATCAAATGAACCTGGACACCACTGCAATCGGACAACCAACCTTAAAAATTTCATTTACATGCTTGCTGTTAGACGTACATCTAACATCATCATCACGTCCATCATCTTCAAGACAGTTATCACTTTCACCGTCATCTTTATTAAAATCATGAGATCCTCCACCATCAACACAATCGTCAACACCTTATCAACATCATTATATCATTGCTTATTATTACAACCATCAGTATCATTGTCATCACCATCATCATCATCATAACAGGATTCATTATGTCCATCATCGTCAAAATCATCATCGACTCGATCATCAGCATCATCAAAATCATCATCACACCCATTATCATCACCAAAACACAATAATTATTATCTATATCATTCTCATTATCATCATTAAATCTTCATCATTTTCATCATCATCAAGCTAAAAATTATCAACTATATTATCATCACTTGCATCATCAAAGTCATCATTATCATCGGTCCATCATCAAAATAATCATCATTGAAATATTTATCGTCACCTACACCATCATTATTATCATCGCTAAATGATATGAATACTGATGTCCGTTAAATGGTGTTTTAATCATAAAGAAGGTGGACTCGGTTTCAAACAGTGTTACGGGACTTTGCCCTCAAAACTTAAATTTTTCATTATTACATCGAAATAAATATGTTTAACATGACTTACTAAAATTTGAGTCCCTTGTCTAGAACTGAATGCTTATTTTAAATTTTGAAGTGATCATAATGATAATGATGATGATGGGCTGATGATGTACTGATGATGATTATAAAAATGTTGATGATAATGTACTGATGACAATGATGTTCTTATGATTAAGATGTACTTATAGTGGTTACGATGTTGATAACGATGATGTCCTCATAATGATAATGATTATGTCTCTATGATGACGATGTATAAATTTAAAAATAACGATGATGAAGCACTGCATGATGATGATGATCTTCTTATAAAGATGATAATAATATTCTGGTGATGATGATTATACTTGAAGGTTTCGACGAATAAAGCTTCCGGGGAGCTGTATTGGGCCACATTAACCTGTATTTGGACGAATTATAACTTCTTATCTGGGAAGCCTGACGACTGACAGAATGTGGTCAGGGAAAACTGTGTTTCAATAACTTAAAAAATACCATTGGGGGCTTGCGCCCCTCAAAAAAGGTCGTCAGTGCAGTTTTTAGTTGGACGACATTATACCTTATCTCAGAGGTAATTTGTGAGTACTAAACATATATAACAATGTTTTTTATATTTATATAACATGACAAACACAAGTTATATTTCATAAGTTTATTATTATTTTTATGTTTTTGATATAAAACATATCTGTTGAGTGCAATAATAATTTAGATATCACAGAATACATGACTTTTTGACCAATCAAATTACAGAATGAGTAATTTCTCCATGTACAAGATATAGGATCCAACAAAGGTGTAAATATCTGTAGTTGGCCTTTCTCTAAATCTGAAATAAATAATGAAAAATGTTACTTATTATTTAAATTGAGGATATTTAAATGAGTGTAGATTCAATACTGAAATTACTGAACGAGTGGTATAATATAATATTAATAAGTATTTTATATTAAACATTATTTATCAATATCATTTAATTCAACGAGTTCAATAAATTAAGTAAAAAATCTACACGAATATAATATTCTTTTTATCACACACCTAAAATAGAGAACTGTTTAAATTGAAAATACTCGGGTTTTTTTGTTATTGGGGTTTTGCACGTTTTGTGGCAATGTTTTTATAAGGCAAATGACGTCACGTCAAACTTTTATGGAGTTGTAAAAGCTGCACGGGTGTGTTAAATGTGTTTTGAACTTAAATGAGGACAATTCAGCGCTAAATCTAGATATAAAAAACTAAATGTTAGCGACCAAAGTACAAGGATTTTGGCGATTAGTCTAGCCAATATGTAGTGTTTATCAGAACTGAATAACTTGTCAAATGTATACATTTATTCAAATTTATGTAAGGATTTTCAATTTTGTAACTTTTGGTATTAGATCATTTAATTTAGTTTCGAATTTGACCTTGTTCTAGCTTACAACAATACATGTCACAGGAAACTTTTTCAGTAACAACAAAAAAATACTATTTTAGAAAGTTGTAAGAAATTAATATATTTTCTTTTGTGTGGACAAGTTTAAAAAATAACAACAAAGTATATATTTACCATATTTAACCCTGGAGGATGGTGATGGGTGTGGTCGTAGCTGTTGAGGTGGTGTTAAACAGGTTGCTGTTGAACAAGATTAGGATCAGGAACAAGAATCCGATCAGCATCACTGAAATATAATTGAAAATATTGAATAACTTTCCCAAAATGAATGGCTGAAGTATAGAAGCATTAAAGAGAAGATAAACATTGAAATTTATAGATATAAGATAAAACAACAGCCGGTCGAACCGAAAAGGTTTTGGACGTCTTGTAGTTATGTTCCGGACAAAGTTAAAAGTGTACAAATGAACAATGGGTAATAACTCCAAAATAAGGCAGGGCAAAGTTACAGTTCTTTTTGCACTGCACATTTACCCAATTAGATCTATCTACCTACAAAGTTTCTTGTTGATAACTTTTTATAATTTCAAAGTTATGTACCGGACAAAGTTCACAGTGTAAAATTGAAAAGGGGCAATAACTCCGAAATTAGGCAAGGCAGAGTTAAAGCACATCTACCTAATAAGATATATCGTTCTACAAAGTTTCTTGTTAATATCTCTTACAGTTTTAAAGTTACGCCTCGGACAAAGTTCAAAGTGTAAAATTGAACAAAGGGCATTTACTCCAAAACTAAGCAAAGTAGAGTAATGGTTCTTTTGCTCTGCACATCTACCCAATGAGGTATATCACCCTACAAAGTTTCTTGTTGATATCTCTTATAGTTTCAGAGTTATGTCCTGGACAAAGTTCAAAGTGTAAAAATGAACAAAGGGCAATAACTTCAAAATCAAGCAAGGCAGTATTACGGTTCTTTTGCAATGCACTTCCCTTCAATGAGACTTCGACTCACTTCAACCTACAAAGTTTCTTGAAGATACCTCTTGTTGTTTCAGAGTTATGCCCAGGACAAGAAAGAGGCCGGACGGGCGGACATACAAAGCGGTGACTATATGCTCTCTCTCTGGGAGCATAAAAATCCAGCAAAAACCAATACAAGCAAGACAAACGAATAACAATATTTGACAAACTAACAAATCGATTATTCTAACTTTAAGCGATAGTTATGTACAAGTATATTGAAGAGTTGTTTTGAAATTTAAAAATACTAACATAATGTTATCATTATTTAAAGTTACTTACAGAAAGAACCATCTCCTAATCCGCCGGCCCTTGCTGACCGTAACCAGATACTGGCATGTAGGTGTACCCGCCAGAATAACCGCCGTATCCGTACCCGGCACCGAGGGCAAACACCGATAACTCCGACAAGGGCGAAAAAGGCAAGAGCTGAGATTTTCATGATGCTGAAAAGAAATCAAATATTTATATATCACATAATGAATTATAAAACGATTTTATAAACTCAGCACACAGAAAGGAAGCACCAGTTATCGTGCTTATACACTTTGTTATGTAAAATGTATGTTTTGATTGATCGTGATCGAGCTATATATGTCTTAAAATAAACACAACGTTTCATCATCCAGATAATATTCTAACTTCCAATCATTAAAGATGGGTAACATGAAACTTTTGTCATTAACTTCATACTGCAGAATAGTTTATATATTAAACAATTAAAATATCAAGAGATATTTTATATTATGTCTAGTACATGTTTTAACTATACAAACTAATTAAGATTGTACTTAAATAAGAAGAATGAAATATTTAAAGAAATATTGTAAATGTTTAAGTTTAAACTAACCTTGTAGGTTGACGACCTTCTGAAGAAATGGTGATGGGTAAGCCATGAAATATCAGCATTCATTTAATAATGCGACGCGCAACTCCTTTACAAGTAGTCCAAGCTTCCTCCTGTCGATACAACTCGGGCAGTTCCGGACCTTCGTTCGAAAATCTATCGTTACACGCAACTTTCCATCGGACTTATAATACGTCCCGCACTTCGGAGCTTATTTCGGTAAATAGATAATGGCCATCGGCTGATATCAACGTAACATTTGCTGGGGTAGTTACGCTGCAACATTACGTCCTGCGACCGGCTAACTGTCAATTGATGCATACACAATGTCTAAAATTGGTGTGAAAATTTCAATTTGATTTACAATGTTTGAAATTGCATATCATAATAAATTAACTTAAGCGATGTTGATATTTATCACATATTTTCAATGAAATATAACTATTTCTTTAAGTTAAATAAACAAATGGCCTTTCAACCGGTGTTTTGTCGGGTATTTTTGTTATGTTCTCTTGCTGTATGAAATCACGTGATAAGAATACTTTACACTCGTCATTCCGTAAAGACTTACATCAAACTTTTCCCTGAATTGTTATCAAGAATGCTACAAATCAGATTTTTTTACTCGCTTCAATTAACATAGACCATTTAACTTTTCTGTGTGAAATAACTCCTATAAGATTCTACGTTTCATTTAAAACCGATGTAAAGTTTATACGCTCTATAGTTTATAATTGTAAAAATACAGCTATATTTTACGTGGTTTCAAATTTTATTAGATGCATAACGATTTACTATTCTTAGTTTAAAGTATAGGATGAACATTGAATATCTGACTTTTTCTCAAATCTATCACCAGTAATCCAACTTCATTATCACATTTTTTGGTGGGTCTTGCTGCACTTTGCACTTTGCATATCTATACATCCTTATGATGTATTTAATTTTTGATATAATTTACGATTATATTTTTAAAATTAAGTCTATATCGACTGAGCAGGCTCAGAATGTTGTACTTGCGTTTTATATTAATTTTTCACCCTTAGCCTGCTACAACCTAAAATTATAAGCCTTTGTAACCAGTATACAGACCTACACATCTGTTGATCAGTTTCTCTACAACAGTGTGGAAATCATTGAATCATTTAATGTAAATCTATACAATTTAATATGTATGGTTTATTGCCAAAGCACATGCTACTTCCAATCACTGTATGATTTAAATCATTTTAGAGATTTATGCTGTTTTCAGATTTGAAAAATGATATAAAATCGATCAACATCAAATCATGATTTAACAACTTTTTCAATGAGTAGAATATGTAAGGTGACTTGTCACAAAAATAATTGCTTACAAAATGCGACAAACTTAAAAATTGCTTTGACTCGAAAATATACAGTAACGGAAGATAAACTTCACTTCTTAACAGGGTCAAATATGAAGGCTTTTATTGTTCTAGATCTCAGTTAATCATTGATAACACATATTGGCAAGCAGTAGACATCTTATATATGAAATAAATACGGAATATTTGACACAAAATGCCATTTTTATGAAAAAAATAAAACAAACAATAATTTAAGTGTGCAGGTTTAAAACATTACTATGTTCTAAATAGAAAACCATTGTGATATAAATAAAAAAGAAAGAGTGTTGAACTTTTCTCATATTCAGCTATATACATATTCAATAGAAAACACTAGAAAATATAACTGTTAACAATTTTATCAAATTATGTTTTCAACTTTTCTTGTACTTGTTAGTATTTCATGTAGGAACAGTAACGGAAGTTAAACATTCAGATATTTACTGCCAAACATTTTATATTTTACCTCAAATAACTTGTCGGCAAATTAAGTAAACGTTATGCAGCATGATTAACAAGTTAAATGTTGATGCTGCACATCAAAGACGCCGCAAAATGACGTAAACAGTCACAGGTAATGTACAAAATCAGCAATTGGTCTCTGCAGTTGAATATCCGAGGCAGTAATCATGCCGGGAATCGAACCCGGGCCGCCTGGGTCTACAACCTAATGCATAAATTCGCAAAGTAATACCATGTCAGAAATTCTGAGTACTCAGTAAACAATGTTTGTCTGTTTTGGCAAAGATTGAAAGGTCTGCTCCAAGCAAAATGAATTGGGTAACAAATAAAAATGAAATGATTGGTATACTAAAATAAATTGAAGACAAAAACAAAAAACAAAAACAGGTAGAGAAATAAACAAGTTTTTATTGAACTTTTAAACTTATTTTTGTTGTTATTAAATGATTTGTATGAATGAAATAATAAAGAATGAAATGTTTTGTAATGACATATTACACGTTTGGGAAATATGGTTAATACTAGTATATACAGTAATGTATAGAAATAATGCACGCTAAAATAATCCAAGAATGCGACTACGAAAATAAGATTTGCAAACATGGTTCATAACTTATATTAAAATTTCATAACAACAAAAATACGTTTTTAATACATTAGATCAATTTCGTAGACCCGATCTTATTTTCGCTTTACACGGCCAATTTGAGGTATTTTCGTATGTTTTTTTCGGCTCAAACTGCACTTTTTTTTTTAGATATTTTTTTTTTTAATTCTGAAATTTTGATTTGCTGTAAAATCATTCAAAGAAAGCATAAATATATGATTGACATAATTATTTAAACAGATAAATGCACTATTTCAAATATAAATCTTATTTTCGTAGCTGCGAACTTGTTTTCGTGAAAATAGCTTATTTTCGGTTAGTCTGGTTCCCGGTCGTACGATAACGATAGTGGTAAGGGGCAGGTAATCCAGACTACAATTTATATGTGTGTTTCCTCCACGGTCGTCAAGGCTTTGACCGAGTCTGCCATATTGGAATATTGTATAAGCTGATAGAGACTCATGTCGACGACACATTATATAACTAGCATTTAAGGAGATTTACCGGAATATTTTTATTTATGTCCGGAACCAGGAATATATAACAGACATTTTCCCAATTTTGCAGGGAACCAGCCAAGGAAGTAAAAGTTCAACCAATGCTTTATTTTCTGTATATAAATGGACTAATTAATGAACTTGAATCAAGTGGCCTTGGTCACCAACCGTAGCAGACGATATGGTACTATAGTATCATTTTCAAAGCATGGACTGGACATGATGTTATTTTTTTGTAACAGATATTCCTTAAAGTGGCGTTTCGAGTATAATGCCAATACATGCCGCATAATTGTATTCAATGAAGTAAACTCGGAAAATTTCCAGAAAATATGCACACTTGGTACACAAACGATCGATGAGGTAAACAACTATACTCATCTTGGAATTGACTGCAATAGATTTTTGCAACTTAAAAAATCAAAAGAAGACGCAGCCCTTTCGTACGGTGGCACAAAGGTGACATGTGTGTGTTTTCATTTGTTTGGGTCGTCAGACCAAACAAATAATGGTAGCGAAATTTCAGACTCTAATGCTGTTAATTGCAAATGCCGAAAGTAGTCCGCTTTTTTGAAGCGGTTACTTCCCTTTATATGTAACACTAAGGAGAGATCACTGTGTAAATATGGTCACATAACAGGCGCATTAATTTTCAAGCAAAATAATTCCCGAATCGTCGAAGATTTCTTATATTGTTTTATTCTTTATAGATATACATGCTTATAGTAAGCGCCATTATTATTTACACAAGTGTTAAACAACAGTTAGCGTCGTTACAAACCCTAATTTAGAATAATATGGTTTGCTTCAGACCGTTGACATATAAATTCACCGTGGCCGAGGGGTTTGCGCGCTCGGTTAGGCAGCGAGAGGTCTGGAGTTCAAATCCCAGTTAAGGCAACTCATTTTTTTTTCAAATTGTTTAAGTCAAATAAACATTGGATTGAATATCAGTGTTGCAATTAGTCTTATAGCCAATCTACTACAATTAAAACGCTGGAAAGCATTGGTGGCACTATACAAAAACAAATTGGTTTATAATCTCACAACGTTCACCTTTCTGACATTTTGAGACCCAAACAAATTCAGCGACTTCTGTGCTTTGATTATTTATCTCGTGGCCACGAGATACTATGTGACTGTTTTTATCGGAGATAATACATGTATAATCTTAAAAAAATAAAGCGATATACTTTTTTAACATTTGGAACGGAAACGTAGGAATGCTTCGCTGCGTGGGACAAAGCAGAAAGATTACATAAATTGTAGAATATTAAACAATTTCATATAGATGTTAAGATAATATGGGATGATATTTTGAATATACCAATAGTACTATCATTATAATTCACATGAACACAATATAAAACAAGAACGTATATCAGATAATGACAATTTTATTTGTTTTTATAGAATGGAATGATGGATTTCATGATAATATATACAAGGGTTATCACATAAATAACGTGTACACTCGGGTCAGTCAACATACAACATGAATAATACAACACATAAAGAAATGAGGAACATTGATGGAACATTGAAGGTCTAACTGGCTCAGGGATGGCTCTGTTCAAATGGCAACTACAAGTAAATCTGAAATAAGAGTTTGACATGTTAAAAAAACAATTGAACATTGAAGGGAAAATATCACATTTAATAATCATATAAAAAGATCATTATGATGTCATGCAATCCAAAAAATAGAGATTTAGATCTACTTATTAGACCTATCTTTATCTCTTTAACATATTAACTGTTAACTGATTATTGATTTGAGTTAAATGTCGAATCATTTACTTATTTCATTTTCAATCGAACATTTTTAAAAAGAAGCCTGAGAATCTACAGTAATAAAAACATAACAGTAAACACGAGAATCATCATATAATATGAACATTAATGTCAGCATATTACACCAAATGTAGAAAGTGTTTGATAAACACGTGTAATATTTAATATGTGAATAAAGTCGATATTTTTAGCAATCGCATCTTCTCGGGCACTTTCCGTCAAACATCGGATAAGACTTATTAATATTGATAATAGCCGAGATGTTCCGATTGCATTTTAAGCGGGTAGGGATAGTAACTTGATGTGAAAGCTGTGGTCTTACCATATTTAACCCTGGAGGATGGTGATGGGTGTGGTCGTAGCTGTTGAGGTGGTGTTGAACAGGTTACCGCTGAACAAGATCAAGATCAGGAACAAGAATCCGATCAGCATCACTGAAATATAATTATTTGAAAATAATAATTTTACCTATGTTGTTAAAGATATATAGAGGATATTTGTTTGTTTTGCATGTAAGATTGAAATATTATTTCACTGAGTGAACACCAGATGCAATATTTTCACGAGTGGCGTAGCCACGAGTGAAAATATAATAGCTGGTGTTCACGAATGAAATATATTTCAATCTTATATGTAAAAAAAATAAATTTTCTTTTTATTTCATTCTTTTTAAGTGATTTTAAGTACTTTTTTACTTATTTTGCCGCGTAACGTCGCGCATTCTCCCATGTGACGTCATCACATCATGACGTCACATTATCAATTTTGAAAAATAGGTCTGTTACATTTCTCTAATTTTGTTACATTTTTAACATTATGTATGATGACATCGACTTTCTTTTCCTAAAGAAGCAACATTTACGCATGACGGCATATATTTCTGCCTGTTATTCCATTCAGTTATGATTTTCTTTTCATCCGCATTCAGATATAGTCCGGCTACAGTGAAAATTATATTTTATAAATTTCACTAGTGGTTTATCAGAATATAATCATCTGATATATTACAATAAAACACTGGAAAGCATGAAATAAACTATGCTCATCTTTAGGTCTTAGAAATGTATTGAAATCCATGGAATTGTGTGTAGAGTTCAAAACATAACATATTTACTTTAAATGAAGTCGAAACATGTTTATTTTATATATAGAAAGAGACTGTGTAGCAATTATTTATATTTTGAAAACTTAAATTTGAGCATAGTATATCTTTAAAGAAACTCATAAAATACAATACTTGAAGATGGAAAATAATTCAAAAGGAGAACTTCAGCGTATTTTACTAAAATATAAAAATACACAATGATGATTAATATGTGTATTTATTGATATGCCAATTGCTATGAATATTCCGATACTTTCATGTACCGTTTTTTTTCTTTTTCAGTATTATTTTTCATGTTAATTTCTACTTACAGAAGCTACCATCTCCGGATCCTAGTCCGCCTTGTTGTCCGTAGCTGTATGCTGGCACGTATGTGTAACCCCCGTATCCGTACCCGGCACCGAGGGCCACACCGATTGCTCCGAGAAGGGCGAAAAGTGCAAGAGCTGTAACTTTCATGTTGCTAAAAAAGAAAAATGAGGCATTATATATAATTTCTTTCAGATTGTAAACGTTTAATTTAAAAATGAAATTACTTCTTTCTTTATAAGATGTTTCATCCTAGTTGCTTTGAATTTTGTTTGTGGAAAGGAAAAAAACGCGTAGAATAGACGCAAGTAATAAACTTACAACAATAAGCCCAACTCTTAAAGTCAGTTAATAAAAGACACTGCAAAAGATTAAATATATTTATAAAAAAAGCACAGGCACACAAAAATAAAATTAATCAGAATATTTAATATATGCGGTTTAAAAGAATGTCTTACCTGGTTGACTGACGACTACTTGGGAAATAGTAATGTATGAAAGATCGGGTTCATTTTTATATCGAAACTGTTATGCGCTTTTCCTGGTTTGTGCAGACGTCTTCCGCGTTCACGGAGTACATTCGGAACAGTTCGTTTATTTCCGTTTTTGCACGTATTTAGTCATGCGAACTTGCGATTGGATATAAATTTCGTGAATCGTTGTCGTAAACTGTATGGCTCATGGCTGTCTCGAACCTGAAATATGTTATGTAAGTTGGTCGGACAGTTGCTGTCGCCACTGGCATATAATATGTATTTCTTTAATTTCAAAATATTGACAATTTAAGTTCATTTGTTTAACTTACTTAAAAACTGTCATAACTTTCTGTTATGTCTTTATGGCCACTTTAATGGCAGGCATAGTATTTTTACATACATTGAATATTGCATTTCAATGTGATGCCGTTGTATAATGGGGTCGTTTTGCACATGTGTTTTAAATTAGGCAAAAGTGGCCACCCTCATCAAACTGTACAGAAGTGTTTGCATAAACACCGTGTGCGTGTTATAAGTTGAAAGATTACATATGTGGGCTCCAGTCTCACTGAGTGTTTCAAGTAAAACATTAAAACATAAAACAACATTCAGTCATAAACTTACCGACAACAGCACACGGCCATACTTTATCTACCGCGTACTCCACCGCTGCTGCGATGGGCCCATTACTTCTGCGAAAGCTATGGCCAGTGTTAGAGTGCAAATGTTTTGTTTTGGGGTGATAATAAAAAGAAAAGAAGAATCCTTAAAGAACGTTCAAATTAGAATAGAAAAGACAGTTTGGCAATGTGATACATTATATAGAGGATATCTGTTTAGTGTAAGATCGGAATATATTTCACCGAGTGGGCACCAAAAGGTATATTTCACGAGTGGCGCAGCCACGAGTAAAATATGAACTTTTGGTGTTCACAAGGTGAAATATATATTTCGATCTTACACTAAACTAAACAAATTTTCTTTTTGTTACATGCAAAGACATTAAACCTAATACTGAATGAAAAGCGCGCCAAATAATAATACAACGTGACGTCAATTACGACGTCACGTCATAAAGTTGGTACAGTACTGTGTACGCTGGTATTTCACTGAAACAACGTGAGGGGCTTAAATTCAAAACAGTGAAATTATCAAAGTAGTAATTTCACTGTTTCAAACGTGAAATTACCAATTTTATATCACTGATATATTTCTATAAACCACCGAAAAGCATGTGATAAAGTGCCATTCTATGAAACGCGGCGTATAGAGCCTAGGTTAAATAATGTGTGTGCCCCTTCACGAAAAATAAATGGGTAAAAGTAACTACAAATAGCCGCACAAATAACGTACATGACACGCGAATATGGTAATTTTCATGCCATAAGATGAAAATTAATCTTTTATAGAAAAAACTTGAATTTTCTGTTTATTATATACATTTTTCTCTTTTTTGATATTAAAATTTGAAAGACTTTCCCTTAAATTTTGTGTACTGGCAGAATTTAAAAGAAAGTAGTCCAGCAAGACACCAGTGAAAATACGGAAAATATGTTTCACTGCAGTGAAAGATAAATTTTTACAGTGAAAATACGGAAAATACGCAGTTTATTTCATCAATATTTCTCAATATTTCATTTATAAGTATATAATAAATATTGTTTAAAGTTTCTTTTGAGACAACAACTGATAACATGTAAATAAAATATATATAAACGTTCGATTTCTAAACCAGATTATTTCAGGATAATACTATAAAATATAATACAGAAAATATCATAATCCTCATGGGAATGTGCTGCATTGAAAAAATGGCGTTTACTTTCCTGGTTTTGAGTTTGTGAACATTTGATGTGTTTTCTTTTTTATTTTATATGATCACAAGCTGCTATGTTTACATATTTTTATTGAAATATATAAACGGGGTAAACCCCACATGTATCTCAAAATTGAGCATAATTCAGATGTGCAGTACAGCACCATATGTGAAAGAGAAATAGGTCAAACTGGGTAAGTTTTCAACTTTTTAAACATTTATGTCGACAATGTTAAATAATATTTTGGACAATAATGTGGACAATGTTAAATATCGTTTTGGGCAATGCTTTCAACAATGTTAAGTAGCATTTTGGACAATGATGTCGGCAATCTTAAATATCAATTTGGGGAATGATGTCGATATTATTTAATTTTACCTATAAAATATATGGTGCTTTATTTAATTTTACCCATGAAATATGGTGCTTTATTTAATTTTACCCATAAAATATGGTGCTATATCAGTCAAATATATTTCATACTTTTTAAATATAAATATGAATGTGGGCGGAGTCAAAATTCATTTTTATTTTAAGGGACTTCTTTCGCAATTTTGTTTAAAAATCTGATAAATAAAAAACATTTTTTTTTGTTGAATTTTGTTTTAAATTTTTTTTCTAGAATGATAGAAAAAGGTCTAACTAAGAAAATAAATCCGAACACCAACATCTTTAATTCTGTCATTAACGCTGTACAGACGTTTAAAGTGTTGTTTACGTGACGTCACAGTGTAGCGCCAAGCATCGCGTGCAAAACATGATGCATCTATAAATAATAAATATATTACTGCGCGCTGTACAGTTGCAGTTGCGTGGCAAGCAAGATAATTCGTAACAATCTTTCTTTATAATGAAATTAAATAAAAAAAGTTATTTTTTCGTTTTTCGTGAAAAATGGTATATATATTCACTCAACATGATAAAATGCCACATATTTTCACTCGCCGTCCCGGCTCGTGAAATATGTGCCATTTTATCATGTTTTGTGAAAATATATTCCATATTTCACGAAAAACGAAAACATATCCTCTAATTATGGTTGATATCATTTTGGATAATGATGTCGCGTATGTTAAATATAATTTTGAATAGTGGTGTCGACAATGTTAAATATAATTTAATCCAATGATGTCGACAATGTTAAATATCATTTTGTCCTATGATGTCGACAATGTTCAATATATTTTGGGCAATGTTGTCGGCAATGTTAAATATATTTTTGATCTATGATGTCAACAATTTTAAATATCATTCTGGGCAATGTTGTCGACAATGTTAAATATCATTCTGGGCAATGATGTCGACAATGTTAAATATCATTTTGAACTATGATTTCAGCAATGTTAAATATTATTTTGGGCAATACTGTCGACAATATAAAATATAATTTTCGGCAATGATGTCGGCAATGTAAATATCATTTTCGCCAATGATGACGACAGTTATGTTAAATATCATTTTGGACAATGATGTCGCAATGTTAAATATCATTTTTGGCGAATGGTGATGATAATGTTAAATATCATTTTGAACAATGATGACGACAATGTTTAATAACTGTTTTGCCAATGATGACAACAATTATGTTAAATATTATTTTGGACAATGATGTCGGCAATGTTAAATGTCATTTTTGCCAATGATGTCGGCAATTATGCTAAATATCATTTTGGACAATCATGTCTGCAATGTTAAATATCATTTTTGGCGAATGGTGACGGCAATGTTAAATATCAGTTTCGATAATTATGTTGAATATCATTTTGGACAATAATGTCGGCAGTGTTAAATATCATTTTCGTCATCATTGGCAACGACAATGTGAAATATCATTTTGAACAATCATGTCGGCAATGTTAAATTTTGAACAATGATGTCGGCAATGTTAAATATCAGTTTTGCCAATGATTACGAAAATGTTTAATATCATTTTGCCAATGATTACGAAAATGTTTAATATCATTTTTGGCGAATGTTGACGACAATGTGAAAGATCATTTTTGACAATGATGTCGGCAATGTTGAATATCATTTTGAACAATGATGACGACAATGTTAAATATCAGTTTTGCCAATGATGACGACAATAATGTTTCATATCATTTGGACTATGATGTCGCCAATGTTGGATATCTAAATATCATTTTGGCGAATGTTGACGTCAATGTTAAAGATCATTTTAGCCAATGATGTAGACAATGTTATTTTGTCCGGTTGGTTCGGAGCATAGCCATGCAGATTATATTTATTAAGTAAACCAGTACAATTTTACAATTTAACTACGCTGTTACATAAGATACTTGTATGGACGTAAAAGAAATACAGTAAAAGAAATACAAACACATATTATCTAGTTATATTATATATATTAAACTAGATTTTTAAAAATTTCTTCATTGATTCTTAAAAAAAACCACTTTGAGTGGGAAAAAAATAACAAATAAAAAAACCCATATTTTAAATGGGAAAAAACAACAACAAATAAAAAACCCATTTGAAATGGAAAACAATGATTTCAAATGGGAAAAACAAAGAAGATGCTTGTTCAGTCCCTTTCCAAATCTAGTTTCTTGATCTGAAAAAAAAATGTTTGTGTTAAGAAATTTAATTATAATTTTACAGTACATATATAATAGTATCGAGAATACTAGTCTCCCTATTAGTATAATACACTGCTCCATGTTACAGTTAAACAACTCCATGTTACAGTCGTTTGACTCCGTGTTATGTATTTACGAGCTTTTTAATTTTTTTTTTATACATTTCTAACAACGTAAAACATTGATATAAACGCAAGTTCAAAAAGAATGAATGTATATTTTTGTACAATGTCTTTAAATTTAAATGATTAAACGACAAAAATCTTTTTCAACTCGAGGCAAGGATAGCCCGAAAGGATTAGAAAATTTCCATATATCACAAGGTTTTCAAATGAAACAAACCTTTCTCTTAATGTCTTGTTTGTTGATTCTGCTATTTATATATTCAGCTTTCTCAATCCATTCTTTTTCACATGGTATGTTCTGAAATACATGTATATAAAAGTTACAAATTTAATAGGATTAAAGTTTTGTCCCTTTCTAAATGAAATTGTTCTGTAGATATTTAGATATTTAAATTCATGTATCTTACATTCTTATATGCATATGATTACTTATTTTTATGGAATTTGCATTTCATATTATTTCATTTGTGTTGGAATAAGCAAATGTGACAAAATATGACAAAAACACTGCATTAAATGTGAATGAATTTATTGATGTATATATGGAATATTTTCTGCACGTATGAAGCGCATGCGCAAATCAAAACAAGCGTCTCTCGAATAATAATAATAATAGGTAGAAATGTTCTTACGGATGCGTTTTTGAACTTGTATGTACGACATGTTTGTTTGTAAACTTTGGCGGCAATTCTGTTTATTTTTGTATCACTATCAAAAGTGAAAAGAGATTATGTTATCATTTTTGTCAACAATGAATTTCCTTAATTTGACAGCAATTACAGCAACTTCTCAAAGATTCTCAAAATCTAGACATTTTCTTAACGAAATAATTTAAAATTATAAATATTAAAATTAATATTGATAAATTAAGATACATTTAACATGAACTTTTACTAAAGTTAGAATTTACACACAAAAAAGAAGAAAAACCCAGAGTAAAATCAATCAATCAATCAATCAATCAACCAAACCAAACAAATCAATCAATAAATCAATTTATCAATCATCAATTAAATCAAATCTAAGGTCTGTGATTTTCTTGCCTGAAAGGTTTTACTTTATTGCAAAATATTCCAACTAAATGAGAAAAGTTTCCGAGTAAATTTTATATTATTTTTATAATTAATAACTTCAGGGACCTCAGTTTCTGATTGTTCTTGTACATTAATGTTCGAATGGTGTCATAAAGTATCCCAACAACATCACGTTCAAGTTCAAAAGACATCTGTTAACAAAAAAGATGTATAAAGGTTTATTACAGTTTGCTTAAAATTCAGCAAAATTTAAAACAAGTACATTTAATGGTACTTTTTTTCTGATCTATATTAAAGATAAAATGACCAAATATGCCAGACCTGATCATATAGCATCGTCCACGTGTTCACGAAAAGTATTAAAAGTATCAATGTCAAGATCAGGGTAAAATACTTATGTTAGTCTATGCTTATAAGTTGACAATCGCACCTATTCGACCATATTTATTGGTAATAGGCGAAATGTTCCGAATGGACATTATATAAGATATAAAAGGACCTGTTTGTCCAACAATGTAATTTCTACGTAATGCTCTTAACCACAATAATATGAAGTGACAAACCTTTTGAATTTTCTCTCGGAAACCTATCTCATCTAAGAACTTTTTCTCAAAAGCAATATGGTCTTTCTCGTGTGTGACCATCCATTTGTTATGTACTTATTCCATATCCTGTAAAGAAAGTCGTAAACTCATATATAATAAATCATTTAATTTATAAATAAATACCATATCTCATTCAGTAAATACGTGTCAAAGAATTTGTAAGATAAAAAAATGATATTTTCAGTTAAAAATATGGCCCAATATCGGCTATAAAATCATCAAAAAATTACATATAATACGTACCTTAATTGCTGCCTCTCTGACTTTAGCCTCGTTTTGGTTGTAACTTAATGAAGATCTTTGTGTCTCTAGAATCAACTCATACTTTTGCAACTTTGCTTTTGACTTCCAACAATTCTGTAAATCAGTAATATTTTATAGAAAAATTGCGAAGTGAACAAAGAGTAATTTTCCATTGCAAACGGCACTAACATTCCACTTAAACTACGAAAAAGAGGCCAAATTATTCTAAAATAGCCCGTTCGCACGCGATAAAAATGTGATAAATACGGCTATATTAGTTAATCATTAATCGCACATAACATGTAAATTGTTACTTGATTCCTTTTTACTTTTCTTAAAATGTGTGTTTAATTTTGTTTTAAATATTTTAGCTCATCTGGAGGCATGCAGCTTAAAGGCAATACTTACAATTCTAGCTTCTCTCAATGCAAGCAGGGCTGTTTCGTGTTTCTTAATCAATTGTACTAGAGTTCTCTTGCGTTCTTTCAAAACTCTGTGCGTCTCAGAGGAAAATCTATATTGGCAGAAAAAAACAAGGTTTACTTTTTTTACCTTTATCAATTCAAATATTTTGAATGAAGATTCATGATGATAAGGTATATATATGTATTCTTTGAAAGTTACTTATGTTATAATTTCGTTGTTACTATAAAGTCAACAGGACTGAAATTAATTAAAGTCCTATTATGCCCCATAAATGCATTAATTTCTATTTTTCAAAAATTTTATTTTTCATGTCCTGTTTTAGTTTGTAAAAGATTATTGATTGGCCAATCACCTGACAGGATAGTTACAGTGATTAAGTATTTTGTATGGATGTCAAAACACTATTTTTTTTTACATTTTGCTACTTTCATGAAAAATAATTTCACATTCAGTGCTATTTCTTTCAGTTGATAACCATATAACATGCTCTTAAAAGATTATTTAAATAATTGCCCTTTCTAAAGAAGGAAAAGTTTATTCATTTCTGAGGCATAATGTGCATTTAAGGTCAACAATTTCGAATCCCCCTTGACCTTTAAAAAAAATTAATTTTATATAATTCAGTCCCAAGCGAAAAATGGAAAAATTGTATTTTCCAGGGGCAAGTTTTAAAATTTTCTTTTCCCCCAATTTTTTGGCGAGCACAATCAAGTTCATTTCCCCAATTACTGTATCATTTATTGTAAGCTTATATGATAGAACTTGTATCAGTTTTTGCGAGAACATGAAATAGACGCATTTACCCATTGTGATAATATTGTTTTAGAAACCACTCAAATAGACAGCAAAATCCTTGATAAAGAGGGGTTTAACCCCTCGAAACGTTGGAGATTGACAAACTAAGTGAAATAGTTAGATAGATAATATTATTATAAGACATATAAAATCTTACAGAGTATCAAAATCTTCATCGGTACTGATGATATCATAATCTTTTCTAGAATGATTTAGAACTGAGTTTCTCAAAGTTCTCAGGAAAGTGGTAAATCTGTTTTCTAGATAGAGACAGATAGAAAGAAAAAGATAGAAGTACTAGAAATACTCGTATATAAAAAGAAGGCGTAAGTGAAAGCTTAACACTCCGTCACAAAATATTTACTTCTAAAGGTTGTAGGTTCGATTCCCAACATAGTGGCGATTCTGGACAAGAAGGAAAGTAAAAGAAAAATGGGGAAGTCATCTGACAAGATCTAAATGATAAGACATAACTTAACGAACTTGAACTAAATTAAATACATGAATGTTGCATATTCTATGCACTTGAAAATTTTCGAAAATCACAAACCTCGCTTAACTTTCACTGCCTGAAAAATCGGAACTGTACTTGGAACGAAACCGGTTAATGCAGAAAAACTGTCAAGACAGGAAAACCTGAAATAAATAAATAAATAAATAAATAAATAAAATAAATAAATAAATAAATAAATAAATGGATAAATGGATGGATAGATGGATGGATGGATGGATGGATGAATGAATGAATGAATGAATGAATGAATTATTGAATGAATGAATGAATGAATGAATGAATGAATGAATGAATGAATAATGAATTAATTGGTCGATAGACATTTTAATAAATGAACAAAATGAATAAATGAAATGTAAGAACAAATGAAAAACTTATTAACAAATAAAAAAATAATCGTAACTCGATAATATAATTCAATTATAGGTATCTTTTAAAACAGATCTCAATGCGTTAAAGTATTTTGCTTCTTATTTTACATACCTATAATGAAATAATTGAAATTTCACTTACATCCCTTCATCTTGTGTCAGGATAGATAATTTTGGTATAAAAACTTCCTCCATAACTGATAAAAATCGTTAAATATCGCTGTCAACTGCTAAGTGAGTAATCTCTCTTGCTAATGCTTTGACAATAATGACAACGTCGCTTAGAAACGGCGTCAACGTCATGCGTAAATCACGTCGTCAAATCTCGTTTTACGAGATTTAGAAAATAGCATCGTTATTCACACCGTATTACCGACGCTGGTGACAGATGCTGCAGTGATTCACGATAAAAGCGGTTCCAGTGGAATCGCGAGTATATATATGATGTTAAGTACGTGAGTGCAAATGTTTTGTCTTGGGGTTATAAAATAGAGAATAGAAGATTCCCTAAAGAACGTTCAAATTCGATTAGAAAAGACAATTCAATGTGATACGTTATAGTGTCATTCTATGAAACGTGGCGTATAGAACATAGGTTAAATAATGTGTGTGCCCTGAACGAAAAATAAATGGGTGAAAGTAACTACAAATGTAATCGGAATATTGTATGGGGATCAAAAAAAATAAAAAGCCTGCATATCACAGAAACGCTGTCAATAGACAGTAACACCGACAATGTGCTCGTGTCTTTCTAGCTTTATTGGCGAAGGAAGGCATCAGGTGCCCCTCATTGTATTATTTCAGGCACAAGCAATTCGACTCCTCATGGTATAAGAAAATATTCACAAATACATCGGCGTTATATTGCGTGCGGTAAAAACCTTTTTTACTTGACACGATAATGAGGCTGTAATCACGTGCAAATATTGTGCTTGAATCCGCAACGGAACTATATAAGTTTCCTTAAGTTCTAATCCCTTTCAGTAATATGTAACTATTATACATATGAAATGTACACTGTATGTTTAAACTAAAGTAATAGTTAACAGGCTGGAGAAAATAGTGTTTTAACGAAAACTTATACAGTTTACTCGCATATACAGAAAGAACAAAATGTTATATTATAAGTTATAAAGATTTTTGGCAGGTTATATGGCCCTATATAAACGGATATTTGTAAATATAACCCGAGCCGCTAGGTCACACAAGTCCACATTAAGAACGTAAACAAGGGCATAACAAGGAAAGTGAATGGCCAACGGCAAATCTTTTTATTAATTTACAATGGAGATATAAGATAAACTGAGACATTATGCGTTATATACCGTCCTCTAATAAGTACGTGTTCGCTGACGTCCTAATCCCGAAATGACCTCGTAAGCACGTATGAAGGCGCAGTTTTCGTGTCCCAGTCCAGGTGAAGGATGTGAAACTCACATATAATATTCCCCTCAGGTACTCTTAGAGGATCGCCCTGAATTCTATGAACGACCATTTCTGGTCTTTAAGAATTGCCAAAACTTATATCGTGATGGCCAGTAAATTTTTGCTATGATGTCCAAGTCATGAAGACAAATGAAATAGGAACTGTCTCTCCACTGGAAACATTAGCAAGCTAGTTTAAACGTCCAAGATATGTCACTGGAAACATAGCAAGCTATGTTTAAACGTCCAGATATTCTTCCGAATTATGATGGATCCTGTTGGATCTAACAGTTGCATAAATAAAAACGTTAATATAGAATGTTTGTCCACTCTATCTAGAAATCAATACATTTACAATATACAGTATATATTCACAATCTGAACAATATCAAATACCACCATTTTATTACATGCTTTTCGGTGGTTTATAGAAATATATAAAGTGATTAAAACTAAAAATTTCACTTTTTGAAACAGTAAAATTTACCAATTTTTGAAAATTTTCACTGTTTTTAAATTTTAACCCCTTCCGTTTTCAGTAAAATCCCCACTACACAGTATTTGGGAAAAAAAATTTAATGACGTGACGTCGAAAATGACGTCACGTTGTATTATTTTTTGGGCGTTTTTCATTCAGATAGGTTTATGCCCTTTTTAAAACGTTTTTTTGCATGTAATAAAAAAAAAAATTTTTTTAGTTTAGTGTAAGATCGAAAAAAAATTTCCCCCTTGTGAAAACCAAAAGTTCATATTTCACTCGTGGGTGCGCCCCTCGTGAATTTTTACCTTTTTTGCTCACTCGGTGAAAATAAAATTCCATCTTACACCCGAACTAAACAAAAAATCCTCTATTTTAATTACTTAAAATAAGTATATTTTGATTCTTAAAAAAAATTAGTAGGGAAAAATAATATACCGTAAAAATTTCTACAGAATTTTTTTCTTTTTTGTTTTTTTAGACAAAAAGTACCGCCTCCCTTTGGGGAGGGTTGGAGTTTAAAGATTCTAACCAGTTACCCCTCGGTGTGGGTTCGATTCCCCCGGGGGACCCTTTTGGGATTTAGCACGGAGGGAAAGGGAGTCTAGTACTGGTGAAAAATCCCAAGGAAAGAAAGAAAGGGTTTGGAAACTGGGCCCCCCTTTTATACTGAAATACTGTTTAAAAAAAAAGGCCCTAAAATGAAAAAAACAAACAAACAAAAAAAACTAGACAATATGTCTGAAAAAAAAGGAGTTATTTATCTTTCGCTAGTATTTTCAAAAAAACCCAAAATTGTTCATACAAAGTTTGTTTTTTACAATTTTTTCTGAAACCCCCTATAAAGTCTTAAAAAATTTTTAAACTTCTGGGGAAATAGAAAATTTAAATAAGCGAAAAAAAGTTATTTAGGTAAAAGCGATGTACGTGAATTGTTTCTTTGCCCGGGGGACGCCGGGAAAAATTTATTTTTTTTTATAAAATGGTTCTGAAATGTTTCACAAATTTAACGTCATTAATTTGGCGAGTATCAGCAATTTTTAAAATTTACATTTTTGGGGGGGAAATTTTTATTTTTTTTTATACAAAAATTTTTTAAGTTTGATTGCTTTAGAAAAAGACGTCTCAAATTTCCCGTCCCTGAAAACACAGAGCTATAAGCTTCTTTAATATAAGTCTTGTTAAAGGGAGTAGGGAAGCAAGTTGAAAAAATTTTCTTCCCAAAGGAAAACAAGGGGGTACCCAAAGGGGTAGCAATTTTTTCAATACCTTTTGAAAATAAAAATTTATAAAAATGGGCTTTTTTAAAATTTAATAGAAATTTTGTCATTGTTCTCACTAAATTTTAAATTTATTAGACATAAAAGAAGTTCATTTTTAGCCCTTTTCATGGCATGGATAGTTTAAAATTTTCCCACAAACTCATCTCTAGAAATTTCTCCATATACAGAAACTTTGAGTAGGTAACCAAATTTTTAAAACCTATCTTAGTCCAAATATCACCTTTCCCCTGGAAAAATTTAGGGAAATTTTTTGGCCTCAACTGTGAATTTGGAAACATTTTCTTCAAAGTCGGGGGGATTGCTAGTAAAATTTTAAAATTTGTATTTGTAAAAATAAAGCTCCCTAGTAAAGAAAAAGGGGCACTCGTATGGATGTGACCTGGCTCTAAAAACTAGGGGCCTTTTTTTGGGGTTTCTTTAGCCTTTTATTTTTTAAACCCTTTTATATTTAAGGCCCTACATAAACTCTTACGGTGGATTAAATATGTGTTTCCCTTACAATTTAACATAAATAAAAAAACCCTTTAAAAAGTAGGGTAGAATCCTTGCCCCAAGGGTTATATTTTTTTTAACCTTTAAAAGGGCAGGGGGGGGGAACCCCCAAAAAAAGGGGTTTTATCCCTTTTAAAACCAATTTTTTGGGCATTATAGTTTCTAATAAATTTTCCTAATATAAGAAAAAAATAATTAAATAAAAAATTTCCATTTTCCAGAATTTCCCACCGGGAAATTTGCTACAGCAAATATTTTTTTTTGGTTTGGGTTTCACTTACGCCAACACAATAAAGGACATAGGGGAATTTTTTAACCCTTTACGGGTTCCTTTATTTCAGGCCACTTCTTTTTTTTTTAGTTTTTTTTTAATTTTTTAGGATGTGTGTATAAATATTATTGGCAATGCGTTTATGTATTTAAAAATTCAATTTAATTTACAAACAAATTTTTGCATTAAATGGCTCATGTAATTATGTTTTGTTTTTTGTATTGTATGTATATGTGTGTTATGTATGGTTTATATGTAAGAAAATAGATCTATAAGTTAGTGATTCAAAGATCAATTTTGATATGAAAATGTTCATTATGTAACTACTTAAGAAAATTTCGGCTGGTATTTACATGTACTTTATCAATCAAAATTGATCTTCTCCAAACTTTTTTCGTGATTGTTGATATTATGTATATATGTTTATGGAATAAAATAAAATGTCTACTGTCTACTTCTTTTGATTGTTTTCTATTATTTATATATTCAATTAATTTGCAAACTAAGTTTATTGTTCTTATTTTCTAACAAGATCATGTTCACAAATTATAATTTTATTTCAGGAAACAATTGTCAAATTGTACTAAGTTACAATATGCATTCAAAATCAAGATCTAATTAAATCAGTTACGAAGAAAATACATTGACTATTATGTCACAAATAACTTGATTATATTCGCCGATAAAAGGCGTTCAACCTGTGTAATAATTCTGTATCATATAAGAAAAAAAATCACATTTTCCGGCGTTACCGCGAAGCACAATTCACGTACATCGGCGTTACCTAAAAAAACGGCTTGAATCACATTTTATCAATATGTTTTCAATTTTCTATATCACAAGAAGTTAGGTTTATGTCACTTGCCTACCGGAAATCGAATTTTTGCGGAATAATATGCATTGTTGTACTTAAGCCGTCAAAAAGACAAAATCTCCCTAAAAACGGTGGTCAAGCCATCATTTTTACGGATGACCTTGAAAAGTAAACAATTTCGTGGAAATAATCTTGATGAGGGATAAAGAGTTATGTCTTCGCAGCCGTATGCGGCTATTGATTTTTTTCAGTTCGGTTGAATAAAAAATATATTGGCCAGTTTTCTTACCGCGTTGGATATCCTGTCAGGTATCCGCCATTTATTGCACAATTCTGCGTTACTTATTGCACGAATCGTGCGTTATTTTCACATTCCGGCGTTACTGGATATACGCGGCGAAAATGATATTCCAGAAATTTCAACTTGAAATCGTTTAAATTAACTTCTTTTCTTTGGCATAAGTACTGAATACACTCTTAATAGTTCATACTACATGTAATAAAATGCGAACACTCATTCGAAAGTCGAAAATTTTGACAAAATTCAACTTCTGACAGAAAATTTAATGGGGCCATCTCTATCGCTAGATATCTGTTTTTCAACATTTATTTTCTGAAATACTGCCAGTTCCTGTATATGATGCACTTAAACATGTATATGGGACCAAAATAATTCAAACCTAAATGGTATTCAGTATTATTTTATTTAGGACATCTCAAGGTAACACCCTCCTAATCTCACAAATTCTCAACTTACCTTAGTTTACTCGAAACTGACTGTATCACGGGGATGGAACCATATGTGAATCTCAAAATTGAGCCTCGGTAAAACATATATGTGAATTTCCGCTGCTCCAGATGTGCGCTTTAAATAACTCGATATGTGAAGGAGAAAATAGTTAAATCACAGAGTAAGTTTTCAATATTTTAAACATATAAAATTCAAAGCATTTTTAAGAAAATCGAAATGTGATACTACCCTCCTGACTTTCCTCTATATTTGCCTATTTTTGATTTTCATGCAGTCTTCATCGAATATTTCTCCGTCGGGGGTTTCCCTTGGGCCCAAAAAAATTCAATACGTATTAAAAAATTCCAAACAAAAAGTCTACTAAACGATGCTTAAATACCAAAAATATCTCTGTAAAGCTATTGTTTCATATAAAACCCTTTTCCCCAAATTATTTTAAAATTTGTATAAAAAAACGCACTTCAAATTCCGAATTGTATTTAATAATTTTCATTTACAGTACAATTTTTGTTAGATTGCAGCAGAGAATTCAAGTAAACTTCTTCATAAAAACTGATAAATACTGTTTTCAATTAATTCCAAAAATTATAGCGCCGATACAAGCGCTGGTTACAAGCGAACCCTT